ACATTGCACAAAATTGAGCAGGAACTGGGTACTGAAATTCAACCAATACCGAAACAAATTGATCCATCGCTGTACGTTGCCGAATATCAGATTGGTGAAAAAGATGGTAGTGATGAAAACACGAATACAGAAAAAAATAATGAGAAACCCTCTCAACAAAGAAAACAATAATAATAAAACTTTAGACTTTATGCACAAAATCTGTTTGTGCAGTATGTGCTTTTGTTTTGGTTGTGCTTTCACGAAGTGTTGTTCTTGAATGTTCTTTACGGCATTAGAAGGAACAAAAACGTTTTTTAAGGTTTTATTATAGTCCTTATTGTATAATGACAGTAGCAATGTAGTTGTTTAAGTTTGTGTTTTAGTAGTAGATATGTGAGCATGTTAAGAGCTTTTTCTTTCTAATGGGTATGTATATATGAGATTAAATGTTACTGTAATTTTTGTGTTGTCTGCTTCCCAAACTAGAAATAGTTTGTGTTTCTCACACTGTCTTTACCTTTTGGATCTGAATATTGACGTTTGCCCCATCGAACTTCACCCACAAAGTAAATGTTGTGCATGTTTTTTGTATCTTTTTTGTTCTATTATCGAAGGTGAAGTTTGTATCTTCAATTATTTGTTTGTCTTTGATAAAATAATTGTGTGTGGTCTATTTGGTTTGTCTGTTTTTGTTTGTTTGTTTGTTTTGACCATCTAGAGAATAGAAGAACATGCAAAATTTGCGAGGATGTAGGTATTTGTCATGTTGGCTCTAGTATGCTGTTTGGGAAAGGTTTTAAGCTGCTTTGTTAAGTAAACGTTTTTTGGGATATTGTAAAGGTATCGGATTTTGTTCAAGGCTAAGTTGTTGTTTGTATGAATTAAATATGGAAGTAAAAGTAGTAATGAAGATAATAAAGGTTATGATGAATAGAAAAAAGCATTATTATCATCATCGTATCAGAAAATAAATAAATAAATAATGAAACAACGATTTATTTGTTTTTTATTTAATATTCGAAAAGGAAACAAAAAAAGCAGCGATATAGTCTTTGTCTTAATGAGAACAGAAACGTTCATGTTTTCGAGAAAACTTAGCTATTGGAATTCTCATTTTTATCCGAAGAAACTATCGAATAGAAATCCCTAAGAATCTTCGAATGCTTTATGCTTTATCATAGAATAAACTGTCATTAATTCTTCCTGTCGAGGAACCTATGACTATACACTAACTAAACAGTTCTGCTACAATACAAAGTATACTAGCATCTGGTTGAAAAGTGTTATCATTGTACGCATCTCAGACTCTTCATTTCTTAGATGATTCACTTTACTTATTGAGACTCGACTCTTTGATTGTTGTTGGCTTCATCCAAAAAGTACACTTTGAAGTCTTATTTCAATTTGTTGTACGAATTAAGAGTATGAGTGCTGATACAGCTGGTAAACGCAATGGCAATGCAAAATTAATGTTTGAAGCAGGTAATTGCACAGTTTGTTCTTTATTGAAAGTAATATTTACATTTCTGTTTTAGGTGAAAATGTTTTATGTTTTCATGGTCCAGTATTATACCCGGCAAAAGTATGCTTAAAAAATAAATATTTCATAATAGATCAACTTCTCATAGTGAATTTTTTGGTTTTTCGTTTAGTGTCTTCAAACAAATATTAGTCCAAAGAAGGGCGCTGAATATTTTGTGCATTACAGCGGCTGGAGTAAACGGTGGGATGAGTGGGTTGGAAATGATAGAATTGTCAAATTTTCACCAGAAAATATCAAATTACAACAAGAATTAATGCTTGCACATGGGTAAGATGAACTGTTGTATTTTCTTGATTTAAGCGTATGTTAAGAAAGAATTTCTTCGCACCCTTTTTAGTAATAGTAGTAATAACAAACCTGGTCAAGGAAGGTCAAAGAAACAGAGGGAGACGCATACTCCCGTTGTTGAAACATCGGTACCGGAAGAAAATCCAGTACCATCAGGTAAATAATAGTTCAATGTAATGTAACAGAAATGAAGTCTCGTCTAATTTTATTCCAGATAAGAAAGACATACCACGAGCGAAACGACCGCGTTTAGATGATTCTGTTGAAAAGGTATGAATATTTATTTACTTAAAAGGCTTCCCCTCAGAAAATTACTTTTTTGTTGATGAACCAATATTGATGAATCTTTCAGAGATCACTAGTCGTCACTCAACTAGGTTATGCTGAAAATTTGAACTCGAACAGTTGGAGGGATGTCGAGTTATAGGGGTCTCAAGGGGCAAAAATGGTTCCCATAAAAATTGCCACTCCTAGATCGTTCACCGCAGGACTATAATTTTTTTATTCTGTAGCTAAGACCCCTATGTAAAAACTGTTCGTGGCGATTTTCAAAATTCGTCTCCGTTCATTCCCTACAAGTCAAAATCTCGAAATAACCCTGAACTTAGTAATCTGGGGTAGTAATCTCCAATTTTTCCTCGGCTCAGGAAAAGAATTTCAAAAATCGCCACAAACAACTTTTAGATATGGGTCTTGGCTATATAAAACAAAAAAAGTATGATCCTGCGGTGTACCATCTAGAAGGAGTAGCAGTTTTGCTTCACGAGACTCTTACTTCGAGAAAAACATTCTTAGTTAACTAATGGTGATTCAGGGTTTTCAACAAAATTCGCATAACTCGAGAAGGGACTACAGAGTTAGTTGTACAGAGGTCCTACTGCTTGATCATATGCTTACTTTAACTTTGAGCATACTGATGTTCTGAGTGGACTTCCTTAAAAACTAGTAGCCAAATGTCTTTCATTTTTTTCTATTTTTTAGCCGGTAACATACGAAAATAAAGTTGAAATTGAAATAAAACTACCTGAACAAATAAAGTCATATTTGTCCGAAGATTGGAAACAAATAAATATGGATGAAAAAGTATGTGCCAGTAATATATTGTGGAAGGAGCTTGTTTTATTTAATGATATAATTTTTAGCTTCTATCATTACCGTGTGAGATCAATGTTGAAAAAATTCTTGAACAATATCGACAAATAAAAGTCAAAAGTCAAAAGCCTAATGAATTGTAAGCACACATTAACTGACTATGTTTTAAAAGTGCTTTATATGTTTTATCGTATGATTCTAGTACTTATACAAATCAATTTATTAATAGTGTAAAAGATTATTTTAATTCAACATTAGGTACACAATTATTGTATGCCAAAGAACGTAATCAATATGATCAGGTATTGAAACAAATTCATTATTAATTATAGCTGCGATGAAGTAATAGGCGACATGCTTTAGTACTAAAGAAAAGTATCAGTAATTAATTTTACTCTTCAGGAGCAGAGATCGGCACGAGCCGAAAATTTTTGACCCGGCCCGATGATGAAAGTTTCTGGACCAAGCCCGGTTCGGTCCTTTATATCTTTATAATTTCTTGGTTTCCACTTTTTCAACCTTTAATGGCAATAAGATGTCACGTAACAGTGATAATACTCTTTCTCGGTACTGTGTATATACATAAATTACAAATCTATGGATACTTAAAAATTTTGAGTTCGGGCCGCACTCGACCAAAACACTTTGCGACCCAAGCCTGGCTCGGTCCAATCACTATAAAATTTTCTGGCCCGACCCGTGTTGATCTCTGTTCGAGAGTTCTATTTCATTCCTATCGATTTTTCATTTGACTCGACAAAAGCCTTCATGCATATTTCTTACTAGTTTGTATATTTATTAGCGTATAACAAGAAGTTTCATAGCAGCAATGGCTTAAATTTCGAGATCGATATTAACCTTAGAGGTCGCATTTTTCGGGTACCACCTGTTAAGGATCCGTAAACTACTGATTATAGATAAGGTAAATAGAGTTGCATATGTTTGTAAAAACAATTCTATATGCACTTATACATTTCATGATGTCTTGTGAGCTTTAGAATTCCAGTTGTCTCCAACAATACAGAAAATAACGCGTTTTTTCTCGATACAAGTCAATTCTAAAAAATGTTTTCAAGTCCCGAACAGTCCACGGTCTGAAAGGTTGAAATTTAGTCCAGTAAAAAAACTATCAGCCAGGCCTAGACAGAGTTTTCTGATGAATACAGTGTTACTTTTACCAAATGATTTACTTTCATTTCACAAATATATTACAAAAAGTATCTGTATCATTTATTTAGATTTGTCAATCAGCAGAAGATGATATAATGCAACCCTCAAATATTTATGGTATTGCCCATTTGCTTCGTTTAATGAGTATGTTCTAAACAATATTGTTTTTATTTCTATTTCTTTACACATCAATATTTTTCTAGGTCGTCTTGGTATTTTTCTGGCTTAGTAAGTATCACTATCATTTCTAACTATAGTTTATTTATATGTCAATTGTTTCAATTAGTTCGCCACTTGAAGAAAATGAATTAAATTATCTTCTTACTTTTGTCAATGATTTTTTGAGGTAAGTTAAACTCTCTTGTTTAGTATGAATCATATTTATATAAATTTATTATAGATTTTTGGAAAAACATATTAAAACATGGTTTAACGAAGATAATTATATTTTAAATCCAGTATCATGAAAATATTCAATTCATTTATGATAAAAACTCATTTTGGATGATTTCTGATTGTAATCTTTTTTTTTATTATTCGTTTGTTTAAATTAGAAATTTATGTAGAATTAAACTGGATTTCTTTTTGACCATAGGCTTAATGGAAGACCTAGTATTTTTCTTTGTTTTCAAATTGAGATTTTGTTTTTTTTTAGACTAGAAGTCTTGTGTCTGTAACTTTTTCTGATATGGATGTGCATGTGTGTATTTATATCTAGAAAAGTACATATTTGTTTTATTTTCACATTGTCAAAAACTTCTTCCAAATGATCTCTTACTTCTTTTTTATTTTTTAATCTATTGTATATTAAATGTATGTATGTTTGTTTAGTCAAGAAAGATGTACGTTGACAAAGAAAACTATTTTGTTTTCAAAAACAAAACAAAAAAAAAAGATTGATAATTTTGAAAATTCTTATTTTTATTAAAGTATCATCCATAGTCAACGACGACACATATGTTAATTGAGTCTAAATAAAGAAAAACAGTGGTAAAGCAACAGAGATTTTAATCTGATCTTTTCAATTTTATTGTTCATACTATTATAATTACAAACAAATATTTCTTGTTTTTATATAAGCAATTTGTATTTTTCAGTGTTACACTGGTAAAACTTTATATGTAAGTACAAAACAATAGTTAAGAAACTCAAACATAAATTAATCCTTTCTTGCCCTATGGTCCCTCCCTATAGGGACCATTTTATAAAAATTTAGTTCACTTGAACTAGCGAATGTCTCGTAATACTTAGCATTCTTTATCTCATAGAGTACAGTCTATGACAAACGTCTCAACCTGTGCCCTAGTCTACCTTATAAAAATGTTTCGTACCCTTAACCTACCCTAGCCTGTAAAGTGTGCACCCTATCCTACTCTAATAGGACAGGGTAGGATAGGGTCATCCTGCACACCTCTGTTGTCCTTTAGAACCGTCCGGTTTAGCCAAAGACAATCAAGGGTTAAATAATGATAAAAATTTCGAAAAACTAAAATCTTTTGAATGACATAATTATGGTCTAGATGAATATAATTCTCAATTTCAAAATTGAATTTGAATTCATTTGATTGCATCATACCAGATTATTTTTTGTGATTAAAATACATTTTATTTCTGAAGTAAAACCACTTCAAAAAAAATAAGGACAAAGATTTTTTTTTTTGTATATTAGAAGGATACTTGAGATAATGAAAATCAAAAATTTAAAATGTTCTTTGAGAATATTACAAATTATTATAAGTTTAATTAAAATGACTAGACGCTTGAAGTTATACTATACAATTGCAGAAAAAAAAGAATCTGTTTCAAGAATTAAGGGATTAAAGAGGAATGGACGGAAGTTTTGAGCAATATTTGATGATAATAATTTCTGCCCAATAATATTGTTAAAAGAAGAATGGGGGACAAAGAAGGATCCGTCTAATCTATATGAAGGCACAACAGAAAAGAAAAAAAGAAAAAATATCCCTCCTTCCTGAAAAAAACAACAACAACTATACATTATTAATATGCTTGCATTTGCATGATTTCATATTCTTTGTCATCTGCTCGTGATGATTGTAGTCTACAACAGACACAACATGAGGATAATAATGCTAAAAATGCACTTAATGCTGCTCCACATGCCAACCAAAATGAGAGACCGAAAAATTCAATATTTCGTAAATTTGGATTATGTTCATGTATCATAACATCAAGTGGTAAATTTTTTTCGTTATCGACAACCGTTTGTTTTTCCCATAACCATAAATAAACGTAAATGCCTAATGAACCAATAATAGCTAGAAAGGCTAAAAATGTCCATATGCCATAAAGAAAAAATGGTACACCACGACACGTTTTTCGACAACAAGCCAATAAAAATAATGATAATATACTCAATAGTGTAAATAATAATCCTCCAATAATACCGAAAAAAATACCCATACGAAGATAATATATTAATGTTAAATAATTATTACGTTGTTGTTGATGTTCATAATTTTTATTATCAAGATTATTTTCGATTTTTGGAAATTTTTCAAAATAATTAAAACGTTTTTCAATACATTTTCTATCATCACGAATTGTATAATCTTTTAAATGATTTTTTGTTGCAAAATCAGCACAATTTTTTTCATCACGAAAATCTGAACATTGTACAGTACCATCACATCGATAAATTGAATTATAACATCGATCATCACACGGCATCGTATCGGGTCGACAACTTTCTGCTGGACAATTTTCCTCATCTGAATTATCAGCACAATCTGGAATACCGTCACATCTAAAAATAGAAACAAAAAATTCAATGGCAAGAATAGTTTGAGAAGATAACTGAACTCTTATCTCTCGAGTATTTTCCTAAATGTTTTTTTGTTTTAATCTCAGACAACAGAGAAATTTTACTCTAAAACTATAAGTACCTGTATGAATTTTCTCTTCTGGCACATTTTCCTTCTTTTTCACAAAATGTCCGTTTATTATTTTGACATCGTTGTGGTGAACAATTTTGTTCATCTGAATCATCCAAACAATTTGAAACACCATCACATGTTTGATCATTGACTCGAAAACACACTCTTTGATCGGGACCTGAAGTATTGAAAAAGATGAAACGTATGAACATATGACAGAAATCACTATCATTCGTACACCGATAACCTACATCTTTCAAAACCAGCTTGACATCGAAGTGGTGATCTTGTGTTACATTCTGCAGATGTTTCATCACTTTTGTCTATACAATCAATGATACCATTACATAGTTGTCGATTGTGAATACAACGTGTTAGCGGATTTGAGATAGCATAGCCATTCAAACACATAAACTGATCAGGTGCACAATTTTTATTAGCTGATGCTAAACTTTCTTTCGATGCTTGTGGTAAAAAACTAAACTTATTATCGATTACGACATTTTCAGAACGATAGGAAATACATTCAGAAAATAGACCACGTGATTGTGGAATACGCAATAATGTTCGATATAAACGAACATCACGATTTGTTATATTTGTATGTTTTGGAAGATTCTAGAAAATAAAATAGCTACAACTTTATACGCTCGATTAACAAAAATAGTTGACATTCGTTTTTCTATAAATGTCAGCCTCTCTGTTATTCACAACAAGGTTATAAAACTAGAAATCCTTTTTCTTTTCCACTATAGATTGTGGGGGAAAAAAAAGCGAAAAAATATATTTTTTCATATAACTTACTCGTTCAAGTACAATTGTCCACCAATTCGTTGAAAATGCAATAGCTAATAGTCCTAATGTAGTAAATGCAAAAATAAATAAAACGGATAATGATAGACAACTAGTCATAATTTAGAAATAAATATTCTTATAAACAAATCGATATTGATATTAATGTCAATCTAAAATGAAAAAAAAAAGAAGACAAGACATGGTTTGTTGTAGTTGTGTGCTTGAAATTATTTTGTAGTATGTCGTGTGGTGAGAAGAAAAGATTACATGTTGTATGTTCCAAAAAGAATAGAAAAAGTATAGTTATTTTCTAATCCAAAAGAACAAAAAAAAAAATAGGTTTTCTTTTGTTTTCTATTTTGTTACCCTAGAACAAAGGCTTCTTCAAAAACCTTATTATCTTTGAAAAAAATTCATTAAGAAGATGATATATGATGTAAAAATTGATTTATTACAAAGAAAAAGAAGTGATCATTACGAACCAAATGTCAGTTGTGTATGTACGCACGGAGGAAGAAGAATAAAGAAGAAAAAAACGAACGTTTTTTGTTTAACGAATAAAAAGTGTGAAATCTAGCATCAATGTCACAGTGTTTCTTTGTTTATTATACGTATAGTATATACTGTAAATTCCATCATGAGTAGGAAAGAAAAAGTGACGGATGGCATTTTATCTTTCATGACTATTGTTAAGGTTAAATAAAATTGAAAATATTTATCAAGTCTAGTAAATGAACAACTATTTTTCTGTTTGTGACTGACGTGAGTGAATCTTACTCTAACTATTTGATAAAATAATTCATTAAAAGAACAAAATTTTCTCTATGTACAATCATTTTTTCATTATATCGTAAAGAAATAAAACTGAGGCTAGAAATAACGGAAGTTTTTCTACCACATTACCCTTTTATATCTGTACTGATGATTGTTCGGTCAGATAGTAAATTTTTTTTTTTTTTATTATTATCGTGGTTTCAATCTCATCTCATCTCTCTCTATTTACTAGTAATATTATTATTATTATTAAGTTATTAAATCAATTTACGATTCGATGAACTCTCTCATACACATATATACATACACATACAAGTAAAGAGAATGGGTTATAAATCGCATTTCGTGGTTTTTCTTTTTTTTTACGATGCGCGCAACTGTATCTATACAACCGAGAGAGAGAGAGCAAAAGAGAGAGAGAAGAATGAATACATGTTTATATGCAGTCATCTGATAGGCTACTTCGTCTAGGCTAACATTCTTTTTTTTTCCCTTCTTCTTTTTCGAAACAGAGGCAATAACACGCTTGAGGTTTCTTTCTTTCTTTGTCCGATGATTATGAAAGAAAAAGAGATCATGTATGAAGAACAAAGTTAAACTGACGTATTCTGTACTATTCTAGTTCCTGTTTGAAAAAAAAATTAACTATCTCGTTTTGTTACTACATGTCATTCTCTTTAGCTAATTGAAAACTTAAAAATTCTCAAGAAAAAAATATTATTATTTGATAATAGCTACTGTCATATTCATGTGTGTGTGCATGTTCTTTTTTCCCTTATTGCCATTTACACTTAACATTTAAGATTTATGATAAAAAGATGAAATATTTAATATTGATTTAAGGAAATTTAATCCTATAAAAATAAAAGAAAAAGAAAAATTTAAGCTCAAATAATGTTTTCTACATATTTATTTTTATTAAATGAGAAGATATTCATCAACTTAGGCATAACCTTTCGATGTTGAATAATGGTAATAACTTTTTTAAGGCATATCTCAAGTGTTTTTTGATTAGCATATAGACTAAGTTGGCATAGAATTTCTTAGACCCTTTGGCCGAATATTTTCTTCCTATTATTTGTGTGACAAATTCTATCTTTTTTGCATCAAATGTTTTATGTCTATTTGAATCAATACAAAAATTTGTTCACATATATATATAAAAAAAAAAGATTATTTCGTAACAGAACGTTTATTTAAGTGGCAATTCCACTAGGAATCAAATCAACATATGTATGCAGTTCAATCACTATTAGAATCATGAAACATATTATTGTGTCTTGTTTGAATAAAATAGTATATGTATAAATATATGAAAATGTTATGTTTATTTTAATAATCAAGTTTCTCTATCTATCATAGTTTTCTTGTTTAGAATGAAAAATCGTGTCTCAGAACGCAACTTATAAAATACATTTTTATACAACAAAGAAGATTAGACAAATTGAAATATTTTTTAAATGTTTATTATAAACAAAGACACATTGCTAAATTAATTAAAAGAGTAATGTGATCAAATCAATAAAGCACCCGTTTCCAACTGTCAAACGATTATTGATCTCTTCTTCTTTGAAATCGATTTTACGTAAAGAAAAGGATTTCCGGCCATTTTAAACTAAATTATCGAATATAAAAAGGCTGTCAAAAGAGAAAACCGGAAAAATTTCAACTTCTTGAAAAACAAAAAATGCATTTACAACATACTTTTTCCTTTCATCGTCTTACTATAGCGATGAAATTCTTTCTTTAAGCAAAATAAATGTCTGTTCTAGTTTTCTATTTATATTGATTGATTATGCAATTGCATATACAGTACAGAGTGACCACAAAGTTGCTTTTTTCTCTTTTCATTGGAACATCGTATTAGATGATATAGCCCAAGGAAACAAACAAGAGATACAGGCCTCTTAAGAAACAAAAATGTTAGCAATAGAACAAAAAAAAAATCTGTCGTTCTATTACTGACAATAAAAAAACCTGTATACTCACAGCCAATTTGTTTCACTCTATACTCTGTTTCTGTTTTTTTCTAGATGAACTGTAATAAATATATGCATTCTACTATTGTTTCTGTTATCCTATTCAATTAGAAAAGAATATTGTACAGAAATAAACGACATTTTCAAGTAAAAAGTTATAAATCTATTTTAAAAATGACATGTGATAGAAGGTTAGATAGTGTGTGATCAACTGATTGAGTTAAGATTAAACGTATACACGCATACAATCTCATGTGTTTGTTCTTGTAGACATTTGTTCTTTTTTAACACACATTCAAATGATAAAAATCATTACATGTGAACATCACACTTCTACACTAAAGAATCCGCCATCTTTGACACTGATAATAGATACCATTTAAGTTTAAGTCTTACCTCAAAATGGTAGTGAATTACTCTCTATTGAAAGACTTTATTTAATGTTACTAACAAGACAAATTTCATATATTGCTTTCCTATTTGTTCAGAACTGGATTCTTTTTTGTTTTCTTTTCTCTTCTAATGCAAAGCATAGCCGAAGGCGATCAGGACCGAACTAGTGAAATAAAGCAATAATATATATGTATATAATACCATTAACAAATTGATTTTATCATCTAAGGTTTAGGTTTAACGAAACGTTTGTTTAATATTCGAATCGATTTTTGATGTCAAAATGACTGGCAACTAGTTAATCAATGGTATTTCGAAATTTTCTTAATTCAATGAAATTGTCATTGTTGCATAGTTTTGCAAAATGTTATGTTTAGAATATCAGCGTGTGTTTTGCCCTTTTTCTGTGTGAGACGCAATTCCAAAGAGGGCACATCAACTGTCAGTCACGAATTTTGAATATGAAATATACTTGCCTAACGGGTAATTGATCATATAACGAATTATGTGTTTGTGTGATCTAAACCCCTACTGAGTAACAGACATCTTTCTCTGTCTCTCTGTAGTAAATAAAATGCGATAAGTCTCATACGTGTTCTACTATATAGTGTGGGAGGTAACAGAAAAAAGAATAGAGAGAGAATATACATACAAATTGTTCGATGTTTGTGATAACGAGTATTATGGATCTGTATCATGTATATATATATATATACATACTCACTCATTAGTCTCATACGCATACACGGCCGGGTTACGTTATCGGTAGTCTCATACATAAATGTTTTTCTGTCTCTCGTTTGACCTGTATATATGGTCAGCATAACAGAAACAGAAAGTTTGTCTTACCAATATATGTGCACTTTAATTTAATGTTCGCAATTTGAACGTACTAAAATCGATTAGAAAAAAGTTGTAAAAAAAAATTATTCATACAATTAGGACAATGATGTTGGAAATCGCAATAATAGATAACTGACGCGCTTTTTTTACTTTGTCTAATACAACAGCTTCATGTATTGACCATCAGGGTATTATTCTTTTGGTTAAAAGTCAAAAGTCAAGCAAAAGAAACTGTGTGATGTACTGTAATTTGGAATTCATTTCTGATTTATAGAAAATCGATCTCGAAAATCGCCGGCGATTTTCTGACTTTTATAAATTTCCTGTCAATTTTCTGACTTTCTATAAATTTCTGATTTTCGATTTTCTAAAATGTTGGAAAATCGGCTTTGAATTTCAAGAATCTTGGGAATTATTTATAGAAAATCGATCTCGAATTTTCAGAATTCTGGAAATACGAGGTCGAATTTTCAAGTTTCTTGTCAATTCGATTTTCTAGAATCTAGAAAATCCTTAGGGAATTTATATATGGACTTGTTGATAATCGTCGAGCATTTTCTATAAATAATTCCCGACATTACAATGTAGATTGTTTGCGTTGAAATTATTGATGATCTTAATCTCTTTTGTAGAGCATCAGGTATTATATGTCTATTTCTCTTTGAACTTTATGCGAGTAATGTGGAGAAAAATACAATGGATTGGATGAAATTTTTAGAGAAATTCAAGATCTTGATTACAAGAAGTTCCACTGTGGTTATTTTTTTGATTTCTGATGAGCGAAAATGAGTTAGTTTTAAGTAAATTTTCTCACCGAATACGAATTTAATTGAAAAAATGAGTCAAAAAGAAAACCTTCGAAGAATATTTGAAACAGATTCCGAAAGAAGAATTATTTCTCGATTTCCATTAGTTCTCATTGAAGGAAAAAATTATGACGATGATAAAATTTCTATTTATTTGTTTACTTAATCTGTTAGAAGTAGAAAAAACAAACGTATACTGCATAAGGTTATATTTGTAACTTCTAAGAACAAATTTTCACTTAAATTACTCATCTTTACCGTTCAAAGATCAATAGAAAATCAAGTAAACTGTTCTGAATTTATTCAACTTCGTACTTCTAGAAAACCATGAAGACGACAAAAAAAAAATGAAAGATTTATATCGACTTTTGTAGACCTCGATGAATCTTTTTGAACTATTTTGCAGTTGGGGTTTACCACGCCAGACCATACTGGAGCATGTCGTTTACATTGATAATAGTACAAATCGACTTTGTCTGCAATCTGGCGATTGTATATATGGATCCCTAGAAAATGTCACTCAGAAAGCATTTTCCAGGAATATTTTACTTTGTAGAAAATCGACATTGATTTTCAGCCATCGTCACATAAACTATCCTCAATGACAAGAAAAGTGAGTCACGAAAATTCACATTCTGGAAAAGTCACTGAGAAAAATTATCATTGCTGAACATGTAAACTTTCAGCAAATATTGCGTGTCCTTATATACAGATGGCAACAGCAAAGCAAAAAAGATGAAGGGAAAAAAAAGCAGAAAATCGATTTAATTTCATAGAAAATCAAGATCGTTCTTTTTCGGTGTTGATTTTCGACTAAGTAAAAGATCGATTTCATTAAAATTCGAATCGATTTTCTATTATTTTTTAGAATTTGTTGATTTTCCAATTTGTTATAAAATCGTGCAGTATATTATATAATCAGTTTAAAATGCTCAAGCATTTACTATGTCGATTTTTGTAGGAATTTCACAAAAATCCTTTAGAAATCCTGTAAGATCCCGTCGGATCCTATGACTTCTTGTAGGATTTCTGTAGGAAAGTGATAGATGTTGGATCCATCAGAAAATGCCTCTCATTCCTTATAGAAAGAGCCTAGTAGAAGTCTGGTAGGGTTATAGTAGAATTATATAGGATCCTAACGTAGGACTAGTCGTTCTTATTCTTTATTTCATATATGTGATATTCACTTAATCCCGGTGTCCCATTAGAACTGAAGCCAGTTGTGGTTCCCTAGTCACTCTGACATATTTCTGTGAGAGTAGCCACGCCAAGAAAAAACATTCAAAAGTCTCAGTTTAATATATGTTCTTTGTATAGAATTGTTACTGGAAACCAAAACAGGGAAAGGGAAAGGCAAAAGTAGAAGTGAATATCCCAAAACCCGAATGACCATCTCTTGCGTGAGCTTTCTCTTTTCCTTTTTCTTCCTTTCTCCTTTTAAGCTCATTATCCGTTCTTTTTTATACATTTTAAGGCGCACATATGGCAAAAGCCGCTTGCGCAATCGTTCTTTTTTCTTTTTCAATAAAAAGCTTAAATAAAAGAAAAAAAAGCATTTCTAGAGTTGAAATCCTATCATTTCCTTTTTGTACGATCCTATAAGAATCGTACGATTTCCTATTGTAGTGAACTGGTAAGGTCTCAATGTATGATTTCTTACAGGAAATGACACACCTTCATATGATAGGAATACTACAGAACTATCTATGATAGGATTCTATCTAATTCCACGCAAGGATTCTTACGTTTTTCTACAAGCATAGGATAGAGATTCCTATAGGGTTTCTGCTATATAAAGTATTTTTGGAAAAATTGTTTTTTCTTGTACCCAGATCAATGAATATGATATTAGGATCCTATAATATCTTACAAGATCTTTCGCAGAATCTTAAATGATTCTATAGAATCCTACCGAATCCATGCAGGATCTTGTAGGATCCTAGTAGGGTTGTTTGACCTTGGTATGATGGTCATCTCTTCTTGCAAGAGCTTGTAAGTAGATAAATTAAGATTTCACATGTTCTTGTACAATCTTGTAAGATCTTACTACAAAGTTTTATAAGAAAGCATTAGATCTTGTAAGATTTGTTTCACTTGGATCTTGCTAAAACAAGCAGTATTTCTATCATCTTGAACTAATGAAGCCAGTAAAAAAATTGTAATAGCTTTTCTGTAACTAATAGGTGATAAGGCAAACTTATGCGTTCATATTCTAGTGCTCGCACTATAAAGTAAAATATTCGAGATTGAGTTTTTATTTGGAATCGGTGAGAGTATTTTTGGACTAATTTTTTACAAAACTCGAAAAAATATGACAACAAATGTAGCTATGTCAAAAGCGTGCCATAAACTAGCGTGTATTCGCAAAAAAAACATTTATAGACAAAAATACCATTTACAAATAAATATAAACGATGAAAGACATACTTAGTGGATAAAATATGGACTGTGAATACTAAAAATTGAGCGATAATCAATATTTCTCTATAATATTGTACAAACTTTTGTTTGTTTAACTAGCGAATGTTGTTTTGAATTAATTGATTGTCTTCGTGTACCATCATCAATGATACTCGCTCGTCGTTCTGTCACACTCGCTCGTCGTTCTGTCACACTCGCTCGTCGTGCTGTCACACTATCTTGTCTTGCTGTATTACGATGACTCTGAATAGAATTTCTTCGGGTATAATTAGTGTACGATGATGATAAATCTTCATTTAGTAATCGATCATTATTGTCTTCGCGTTCGAATTGATTTGATTGCCTTTGTAAACGATGTAGAATAATACGATATGTACCATTGACACTATCTCGATTTGTCAATACATTATTTTCTGTTGCTCGAAATACATTCGATGATATACCCATTTCTTCTAATATAGAATGTGCTTCATATTCGAATGATGATTGTGGTGGTAAATCGGATGGTATAATTGCGGTTTGTGCCATTAAACTCATGTCTTTTGGAATAGTGTTTGTTGCCCAAACATTTGCCAAATTAATTGGTAACGGTTCATATGCTTCTGGAAATATTTCATTTATCAACCAAGAACACGTGCGAATTTGTTCAATTGAACAACGGTCAGTAGGTTCTGGTTGCAATAAACCACCTGAAATATAGATAAGCTATACAATCATATCGGTTTAAGTTATTCTACATACGTATCAAAGTTTTACAAGGTTCACTAACATGACTGGGTACCATATAGTTCCCCTCTAATATGGATCTTTTCAATTTGCCAACATTTTCTGCTCGAAATGGCATCAAAGCAGTTACCATAAAATATAACAGAATACCCATGGCCCAAATATCGACATAGATCCCAATATAATTTTCATCACGAAATAACTCGGGAGCAGCATATGGTGGACTTCCTAAAAAAAGAATGAAATTATTAAGATTTCACTCTTATTACTGTCGACTCACTCACCACAAAATGTTGTCAATGTTTGATTTTTTTCGGAAAATGTACTAAAACCAAAATCACCCAATTTAACTAAACGTTCTCGAGCAAAAAATACATTTTCTGCTTTAATATCACGATGAATAATACCATGGCTATGCTAAAATAATATAAGCGAAAAGTATGTGATCCATATTAGAAGGAATGTTGTTTTCGAATTTACATACTAAATGTTCAACAGCAGCAACTATTTGTGAGAAATAACATTTAGCGTCATCTTCTGTAAATTTTCCATTTGTTGTTATTTTTGTAAAAAATTCACCACCAGATGCATACTCCATCACTATATAAATATTACTCGGTGTTTCAATAACCTCATAGAGTCGAATAATGTTTGGATGATGTAATACTTCCATTGATGTTATTTCTCTCAATAATAAACGTTGTGTACGTTCATCTAATTTTATTTTATCTAATATTTTTATAGCAACTTTTTCTTTTGCTAGCAAATGTATCCCAAGTTTAACATGAGAAAAATTACCTGTTCCAATATCATCCTTAATTCGAAAGAAACCTATTCTTTTACCAGCTTTTTCTTCTTCTTTCCATCTGGTGTCATGTTGTAAATCATATAATAATTTTTCATAGGGAGATAAACGTTTTTTTTCATCTTTAGCAAATAAAATAGCTACAGGCTCTGATGGTGGTGGAGATGATATAGAAGAATTATTATAGGAATTTTTTATTGATGAACGGCGATTTGTAGTAACGATTTCATCGATACCATTTTCATGAAAAGATGCTTGATCTTGTTGGTCAGTGTCATGTTCGTTATTTGTCATAGTTGAATTTGATATATTCTGCTGCCATACAGGCACCTATTCAGTATCAATCATCTATTGATTAATAAAGCTCAACCGTACTTGTTAAACATCTAAATGTTGAGAGAAACATCTAAAATAGATCGAGTAGTCCGTAATTTAGTCAAAATTCTATTTCAGTTTACAAGTAGAAAGTTGTCCATATGTTGAACAATATACCCTACTAGATTTAATCATAACATCGATCCTTGATTGGATACTTCATATAGACTTTCTCGCGGGTTCTTATACAAAGACCTTAGGATCGATAAAATACTTAAGTCGTTTCTTCTTTAAAATAGCTCTGAATTTGGTGTATAATGGACTTATCCTAGGAAAGATTAATTATGCCTGGGTCGTATATAGTGGCACGGCGAAAAAATTTTTTATCGTTTAAAGTCTCCAATATATAACACAGCTCTTACAGTATCTGAAGTGATCAGAGAAACTTCTTACACAATGCTTTATTCAGAGCTTGACTAGATTCCATTCGTAAATATAAAACGGAATGAAATACAGTCTTTTCGACATACATCGATTATGTCTGTTTCACAGAATCATGAACGGTCGAATTTGTCTACAAGATTAAAGAATTACTCACTCTCATATCTTGCGTAGTCAAACGCAAAATCTAATTCCTGTGGCTAAACAAGGGTGCGAGTATTTGAATAAAAACATTCATTCCTTCAACGATAAAACTACGGAACAACTTATCGAATAATATAAAACTTGAGAAGAAGTATTCAGTATTTAAGTTTAAAATGGAAAATTAATATTCTCTAAAAGCCAAGTTTCCGACTACTTCTAACCGCATGTCAAAGATAGACTTCTTCCATTTGCGAGTTGGTTTGACTAAGTTAAATGATGATTTACAAAACTGCAAGTTTGTTACCTAGTCATCCTGTTTTTGTGATGCTGTACGAGAAACATCTGCTCATATTTTTCTAGAACATGGGAGTTATTGGAGTTTGAAGAAAAAATATGCTGAGAAAGTTTCTGAAAATCTGAGAATGACATTATTACTCTAGATTATATACTGTTTAGAAATGTATTTCGTGAAAAAAATGACCTGAAATTATTGTACTCGACTGTTCTGCATTTTATGCACGAAAGTGGACGTTTTTGCTGAGCATATGTGAACAAATTCTAGCTTCAATATATCCCTATTTTTCTGGTAGACATTAGGAAGACAATCAAAATTATACGCTCTTCCCTCCTTCTTTTCGATCACTATACACTTTTATTGTCTATTCTAGTTTTACTGATTTTTAAACAAATTACAATTTTCTCTTGTCCTCTTTTTTTCCGTCTTTTTTTGGCTATTATTTTTATTCTATCTCTTTTTATAAGTGAGTGAGTATGTGTTTGCATACTTATAACGGGTCTAACGACTCAATTAGTTGTTTAAATAAATAGGTTTAAATCAAGTAGAAAAAGTACCCGGAAGCTTGCTTTCTCTTAGTAGACCAAACGTTTTATTAAAATGAAAATTGACATTTTCATTATCTATTTTTAGCGTCACACAATCATAACCTTTTACATGTGTACTGTCTCCTACAAATTAAAGAAAATAGAATAGTAATAATATTTTACCGTGTGGAAAAGTCTTCTGTTTTGAAATTAGAGAAATAGCTTGACAGACGAAACTCCCTTTAGAATTAGTTGAAAGGAAAAAATCAAAATTAATTTTTTTGCCATCAAATAATTCATAAAGACCTTGTTATTAGCTATGTAGTTCGTTGGAAAAGAACGATTATATCTATCTGCATCAAAATTATAAATAATGTATTTTCTTTCTCTCGAAAATATCTGTATTCTCGAAAAAATAATAACATAATAGCATACCATAGTGAAACTTTCTTGTAATCGAGATTGACTCAAGATCTTAGTAAGAAAATCCAAGAAATCTCAAGAATCCAAGATCTTGAACGTCTTGAAGTTTCTTGAGTTCTTGTACCAAGACCTTAATAATTGCTGAATCACCGTTGTGTTTCACACTCTTGCTTACATACAATTGCTCAGATTTTTATACTCAAAATAACTTCAAAATTTTTCCTTTCTTGAACATAACTCTTCAAGGATGAGCCTGTGATCACATATGATTGTATGTCTAATAGCTATGGCTGTCATATAAGAAAGAAAATGTAAAAAACCAGTTACCGTTATACGTACGTTTCGAACAAAAAAGAAATTTGATCGTGAAGTGTCATAATATGATTGTGTGATGTTTCATTTTTCCTTCTCATGTGAATGTACTAGACGGATAGGGCATCTTTTCCATAAAACCCATTCTAGCAAGATTTTTAGATAATTCTTAAACTATCTTACTAAGATCGTATTAGAGCTTACTTTTTGAGATCTTAATTAAGGTTTGAATAAGATTTCGTGCGTCTACTCTTATTCATCCTTCTGTTTTGCTCTCATGCAAATAAAATATACAAATAACACTGAAAATATAATCGAATTTTACGATGTCACTTTTCTTCAAGATTTTTTCTTCGTACTTCCTGTCTCGAGAGGGTTGAACAACTTTTCACAACATGTACAATGAAGCTCAAGGTGTAGGAATAGATATCTAAAAATTTGAGAACGAGTTCATTTTACCATCATCGTTTTCATCCCATTTCTCTTGGCTCTACTCAGTTCCTGCTTCTTCTCATTTCCTATTAACAAGAAACTGACGTCACCTGGTCTCGTCATCGATAAACGAATCTGTTCGCTTCGTTGTTTAACGCCAGTTTTGTCAACATAGCACAGCCTACTCAAACTAGAACTCATTTATGTAAAAGAAATTTATCGCCACTTGGATAAGATAAATTATAAAATTCCTAGTAAATCATGAACCAATCTTATTAAAAAACATGTTACTTTTTACTCAAATCTTAAAAGACTCTTATTCTATCTTAAAAATATCTTAGACAAAATAATCTATATCTTGGTAAAATCTTATGAAGGTCTTGGCAGAATCTTATCAAATCTTAAAATTTTCGCAACTCATATTCTTAGCAAAACTTGTCTAAGATCTTAATTAGATTCAAATAAGTTTCGTTATAGGGTATCCAGTATTTTATTAGACATGATGTTGTGCTTTGAAACCATAGAGAAAAAACAATAGATTTTCCTTCCTTATCCAGTTAACGTTGTATGTATGAGATATAAAGTGAAAGTTTCACTATAATATCAAAAAGGTAATTAAAAACTGAAGGTTAAAAATAGGTAAAAAATGGAGAATCTCAACAAGTTTTATCGTAACGTATTTTTTACTGGTTGAACTTTTTGTTTCCATTTTTTCTTATACGTATGTTTGATTCTAAAAGCATCTATTCAACAACGTTTCGAATGCATTTAAAACAATGAAAAGGTGATAAAAAGAAAATGTTTTGAGTGGAGTGTGTACCAGATAAAATCAACATCAGTTTATTTTTTTATCAAAAAAAAATCTTACAAAAGCACCAATAAACTGAACAATTGCTGTAGCCATAATCAAATTACATTTTAGTGAAAAGTGGAAGGTGAATAAGGATAGGGTTCACTCCAACGGTTGTTACAAAAACTAGAGAATATGTAGAATAAGAAAATCTTAGAGAAGAGAGTATTGGCGTAACCAGAAAAAAGTCGATGGGGGTGCTCAGCAGCCCCATGTACCCCCTTGGATACGCCACTAGAAGAGAGAGAGATGATGTGGCAAGACTTGTAAACGATCAGCGATTTCAAAAATAAAATTCAGAAAAACCACGATAGCCTTCGTCCAGCCAAGGCATTCATAAATTTTATCCATAAACGTCCACTATCAACGTAAAATTTCGAAATTTTGCGGCGATTGTAGCGATTATGGATATAAATTTATCGATGCCTTGGTTTGACCCCATTGTACTTACTGTATCAAAAATATTTACTGGGAATCTCAATAAGAATCAGAATCAACTGAAAATGTTCATGAAAATAAATTCAAATATTATATTTCATTTTTTTTCGTTTCTTGTTTTTTATACTGTGACAATATTTTACAAAATAATTCTTTACTTCCTTTTCATTTTGTCCCCACCCACCATCGTTTTCATAACAGCTGGCATGTAACTAGGTAACCGCCTTTTCGGTTTGGCTTGTGCTACTACATAAATAACTTAACCAGTTTTGCAGATAATTTTCCCCTGAAGAATTAAAATAAAATCATCTAAAAACACATTATAGGCTATTGCATATAACAATTCTATATCATCGAAGATTCTTCTGCAAAAAGTTTCGATTCAGAAGTTTTGATTGTGTGATGAATCATTCGGTTTTCTCAGATATTTAGGCCAACGGTACTTCTCTCTTTCTTGAAAGCTCATAATAGTAGCTAAAACATACTGATAAGAAATCAGATTTCGAAGAGATTTGATTATATATCATACATCATTAAATATTTTCTACCAGATGAAGGTTTTTGCGTCTTTCATTGTCTCTTCTGTACGAAATAAGAAATGAAATTTACTTTGTCCTTCTCTTTAACTTTTCATCAAGCAAATGTACATGCTGCCAATTCAAACTTTTTAATTTTCTTTAGCTATTCGTTCTTGTCTGAAACTGATTGACTGAGACATGATAATTTAGTATTTTATTCATTTTTCGTTCTAGATCGTTTCAAAGACCGGTTGAACATGAAAAAAAATCGTTTTGTATCATCATCTCGCCGAAAAGCAAGAAAACGTTATTTTCAAGCTCCATCACATATTCGACGACGTTTAATGAGCGCACCACTCAACAAAGAATTACGTCGACGTTATGGTGTTAGAAGTTTACCAATACGAAAAGATGATGAAGTTGCAGTAAGTTCATCGGTTACTTTTTCTCATTTTGATCTTAATATTGCCTGTCTTTCGTTTTCTTACGTTACGTGCATCTGTTTTTCTTTTAGATTACAAGAGGACATTTTAAAGGACAGCCATCTGGTAAAGTAACACAAGTTTATCGAAAAAAATTTGTCGTACATATTGAACGTATAACACGCGAAAAAGCTAATGGAAATACTGTTCATATTGGTATTCATCCGTCAAAGGTAAGAGACTTCTTTCAAAATTTCAAGTAATCACTATTACGGCCGATGCTGTATTTGGAAGTAAATAAAAGCATTTTCTTTGTATATGGGAAGAAGCTATGGGCAGTGTTTTTAATGATTAGTGGATCTCGCTTGAACAAAATGGGTTTCCACTTTGTTTTTAGCAGGGAAAACATGGGAAATGCAGTGGTAAACTGTGGAAGCCCACTTTGCTTAAAATTCCTATTAAAAACATTGGCTATGCATTCTAGTTTTAAGAACTTTATAATGCTATATTTGTGTTTTTCGACTTAGGTTCAATTAACAAAACTAAAATTAGATCGTGATCGAAAACGTATATTGGATCGTCGTTCAAAATTAAAACAAACGCCAAAAGGAAAACATACAGCCGAGAGTATCGCACAATCATCACAAGAAGCACCGATGGAAGTATCTTAAAAATTAATTGAATACGGATGTCGATCTTGAAAAGAAGAAAAAAATGTGTTGTGCTGTTTTTTGAATAAGTGAAAAAAAAACACATTGTTTTTGTTAATCTTATTGTTTTCTAAATAGAAATGAAACATTAAATAAATAACAGAAACGAGAAAACAGAAAAACAAGTCTTCATCCAGTGTATTTTCATATGGAAATATACGCGAATATTTTTACTACTTTTAAAAGAGTAACATATTAGAGCCGTTGACTTAATAGGATGCCAGAAAAACTTCTAAACAAATATCATTTTATTAAACATCACGAATTCTTATCTACTTTGACCGAAAACGGACGTTCGGAATTGCAACTGTTATTGGCGATTGTAAAGTTATAGTTTACATAACGACTATACTTTTGAAACCACATTTTTGTAGAAAGATGTGTTATATTATCAAAATTCGGAATATATGAAAATGTAAAAGATTGATTTAGTACAAATGTGCGTGCACTAAAGTTGTGTAGTTCGCATAGAATAACTGATAATATCTATGTTATCTGGAATGTTTTCGGTGCGATTTTAATCGAAAGCGGCCATTTGGTATGAAACGCTGAATAGCTACGATATACTGACGATTCGAAAACAAATTTACATGTGTTGAAAGATGTTACTGTTGGTTTTCGTTACAAGAGTCTGATTCTCAAAGCGCAATTATAAATTTATTTCCTGTTAGTGGCTTTCATTGATTTTTTAAGTAAGTAAGTTCAAAATTACTGGGTCACTTCTGTTTTGATAAACACGAAATATTTCATAAAACCATATAGTGATCCAAATAAACTAAGCGCAATCTATTGCAGACATAAATCTGTTTTGTGACAGTTCCAAAAGTGAATTTTTCTTGTAAAAATTGTGACGGTTTAGTTTATTTATATGGAGTTACTTACACCAATGCAATGTTTTAATTCACAATTAATTTTTGTAGAATAGAATCGGTATAAACTGAAAAAGACGTAAGTGTAAGCAATTACCGGCGACATCTATTTTAGTATTTTTAAAAATTTATACCTTTGAAATTGAATTTAATCAAGCAAATTAAGGAAAATTAGAATAGAACTCTTCTCTCTAAGTTGTGGTGGTTTTTTGCCTTTTTTCAAAGAATATGTAGGCAAATAGTGGTCACTTTTACGTTTTACTGATGGTGACTTTGTCATTTTAGGATCTAAAGTTTAGATTATCTGAGAGTGGCTTAAGGACTTGGAACGAAAACTGTAGAAGATTATGGATTCGTGGATCGGAAATATCTCAGTGAGTAGAACTGAACTATTATAGAGGTACATCATGAAAGTTCAATTAAATTTTTAATGGCGGTTATTTTAGCAATCGCAGTGGCCGACTGTGTCTTTTATTTTGACCGCTGTTTCACAGAAAAGACAAATTAATGGAAGCTTATCTTGACCTACCTTTTTTCTGGAGCCAAGAAAATCCATCCCCGATAGATGACCACAAAAAAGTGATCAATCAAGAACGAACAAAAAAAATTTTCTTTGTTTTGAACAAACTGTAATGGTACTGTCAAAATGCGCACTTTGCATCTGCATCTTTTATACCTTCTTTTTGAAGAAAGGAATTAATTAGACAGACTAATATAGATGAAACCCTTTTCCTTTCGCAGCGCTGATGTCCTTTTGAAATTCCAGCCATGAAATATTTTTGCACAGGTAGTTTTTTTCTGTGCCTGTGAACTTTGTCTCTTCGTCCACTTCTTTCCAGGAGGAAAACGTTCTACCGGCTGTAGTAAGTTGTTGTCAAAAGAAGCAAACAAGTCTAGGTTATATGAAAACTGTGAGAGCGTAAAACTCAATCTTTTATAGATTTCCAGCTTTGCGGCCCCAAAATTGCTGTAGTCTTTCCAATTTAGAAGTTTTCAAAATAGTACTTTCTCTTCTCTCATTTCAGACGATGGACTACAAAACATTTTGTCTACAGTTTTACCTCTTACCATTTATTTATTTGACCATACATGCGTCGCCTCTTCTTCTATGGAGTAATTTGTACGTAGAACATTTATATTTGTTTATATGAATATTAAAAAAAACTATTGTTACTTCGCAATTTTCAGAAATATACCAAACTCTCCTGTTACTTTGTCAAAAATCAACGCAACAGATATTATCGCAAAAGATATATGTCAAGGGAATAAAATAGCGAGTATTCAATTAAAGATTATTTCTGTACAAGATGTAAGACAATTGCATTATTCTTCAAATTTTTATTGTTTACTGAAAATTGTACTTTTTTCAGCTGACAAATGAGCAACTTTATCACTACAAAGATCGAAATCACATTATTCTTCAGGATGCAAAGGTAATCTTAGGTTTGCACTGAATATCTAATGATTTATAGTGACTATATGGGGACGAGGGGGAGGGGAGTCTACCGAGCTCCAAAGTACTTCCTATCCTTGTATTAGGGATACATTGTTAATCTATTTAGAAAGAAAATTCAAATTACCGATTTTATCCGGATGTAATTGATGCGTATAATGTGTTAAATTCAATTCAGTCGTTGTGTAATAATATTAACTTTGAAATTATATCAAAAACGTTTAATGTATTAAACGATGGTGAGTTAAAATCCAAGTGTTAGGGTCTGAACGTTAAATATTATTCTCATTTTAGCTTTGGATCAAATGGAAGAGATGATAAAGTCATCTTCATCAACAAATGATGAAAAGCATACGTCAACGATCGTTGTTTTAACTGGTGGAAAGAACACTGAAGACGTATATTGAGATATTCTTGTTCTAACAGCATTCCACTCTGTATCCTTTTGTTCTTTTCTAGGTGGCACTCGGGCGGCAAAAGCGCGATACAACAACAACCGTTGAGAATGTTGTTATTTCAGACAAAGGTTGTATGTTCTATGCAGAAAAACTTTATTTGGAAAACATCGTCAACAAACAACCGCTGAGTTATACATTAGATGTCACCGCAAGTAGTTGCACTGTAAATAATGAGCCTTTAAGCCGCAACTCAACGGATAGTTCAGCAGTGTAAGTTATTCTTCGCATATTTTCAAAAAAATAATTTTAATTTCATTTTCTCCATGGTAGATTATCTCTCAAATGGATATCAGACTCCGGAGATACTGCTGTACAGATGAGGTGCGTTGATTTTTATCGATTATTCATTTTCTAATTCTGAAATATATTTAACGCTCTGCCTTTTAGTCTTACAGCCTATATGATTGGACGTTATTGGTATTTTGATTCTATTAAAATACCTGATGGTTTATTTCGTTATTTTGCGTATGGTATGCATGACAATATGCAAACACCAGCAGAACATTCATATGCCTGTAATAACGCAACATTTGTGAATTTCAATATTACAGGAAAAAGTGGTACATATAATTTTCAAAATAAACTATGGATTTCAAACATGCAAGTAAGTTTAAAAACAAGAAGACGGGAACAAATTGATCAACATGCGATTGTACAATAAAATTACTATTAGCTAACGTTTTATTTTGTCTGACTATGAGCGCTGTGCATCATTTGATAATTATTTGTTCAATACTTTTCTAGCTATATATTTTTGTTATTTTAGTTTCAGCCATTCAACGTAAGTGAAGGAAATATAACGTACGTCTTCGGCCCACCGAATTATTGCACCTCATTTTTTACTGCTGGCATTTGGATGGGAATTATGTCCAGTTTACTATGCTTAGCTATATTAATATTCGGAGTATATATGATGATGAGTGTAACTCCTCCTGGACGATATGATGATCCGAAAGGAAACAATTGCAGATAAAAGCACAGGAATAAAATCTATGAAAGTTTTTATATGTATATTTATTCACGGCTGAATGCATTCCTTTTATCTGTTTCTTATTCCGTAATTATAAACGAAATACTCCACCTTTTGTCTTTGTTATTGTTGTTCCTTTTGTTTGTTTATATCTGACATTTTATTGATAATAGTCACTTTTGTTTTTCCAGTTTCTTCAAGTTTCAGACATCGTTTTTAAGATTAATTATTCAGTGGAGTCAGCCAACTTTCAGTGGGTTGTTGTTTTTCAAAAGATAAAAGCTGCTGCACGTTCAATCGTAACCAGCTAGGCTATTCCAGTTTACGTAGAGATTCCATAGATTCGAGTGAACAATAAAAATATACTTCTTTACAATTTTTTCTCTTTTGATGTGATGTGCAATATATTCGTTGTTTTAATTTCATAAATTCATGTGCATTTTCTCTTAGTAAAGATCTAGTTATTTTCTGTATAAGATAAAGCTTTAGAGAATGTTTTGTATAGTTTCTCTTAAATATATTTTATAAATTTTAACATTGAAATGTAACCCTATTTTTATCGTATTTATTTATATTCTTTATTGTATGTCAATGTTTTTTGTTCTCAAGAAAAGTAGATCAATAGTAATACACACTCATTTTTAAACTTTTTGTTATTCATTTCACTTGGAATTAGAGACAATGAGCTACTTGAAATACAGCGTGAAGGAAAGTCAGCGACTCTCGCAAAGTAACTTATGCAATTATGCTGTTTTCTAAATTTCAAATGGTGCTGGTACTACTCTCTGTGTTCGCAACATAATTGAGAAACATTAGGAGTAGAAAGGTGACCAAGGATTATACAGATTTTTGCTCCACTCCTTGAAATTGATGTGGATGCAAATCTTTAAACATAAAGTTAGACACCATTTTATCAAAACTTTAATCTCCATATAACTTTCGTTGGAAAGAAATCGTTGCATCTTTTTGGCATAAACATCAGTTTAGCACTTATGTAAACAAATAACTTGTATTTTGTCTTGCGCTTTTAGAGAATGTCGGCGGCTCTCGTTATATTTGATGGACCGGTAGAACATCAGACTTCTATTGAAATCGAAGCAATAAAGTTATTGTATGAAAACGAATCAAATCAATCTAGTAAGTTGTGTTCAACAAACATTATTGGTCTAGTTGACTTTAAAATCATTTCTATTCGTTACTCTTTATCTAAATGACGACTTTTTGTATTTTTTACGTCTGTTTAGAATCAGTTATTTGTTTATTGTTTCAATCATTTTCATCATGGATCGTCGACAATTATTTCAATTCAATGTATTCTAATCAGTCATCATTAGTACAACAACCTATTAGTGTTATTGGTGCACATGATATGTTTTTAATATATAAAATTGTTCATTATGATTATGAAAAAACATTAACACCAAAAGTAAAACTAAACGGAATAAATAATTGCGATAAACAATGTTTTCTAAATTTATGTTCTCAAAAATTAATTTTACCATCATCAAATACTAATCATTTATTGACGTTATATAATAATTATTTAAAACGTGCAGGATTGAAAGATTTAATTGATCTTTATTTGGATACAGCAACAAATCGATCATCTATTCTACTGTCAAGTAACTATTGTTCGTATTCAAATGAATTAGATTATTTATTATTGAAACAGGCATTAGAAAAGTATGATAAGTTCAAGATAATCAAATTGAATGAGAAAATTGCTACAATATCGACGAAAGAAAATATATTCAGTATGATAAATGAGAATGTTCAAGAACATGAAAATGGTCAACTGAGTCGCGTAAGTTAGTTTCAATTATTCTGAGTTACGAGTGGTACATGAACGGATATGAAAAAATGTGCTTATTTCGTGCAATTTTTCATTTTTGAGCAGCTCAACTTCATTAGATGAAAGTTTTGTGTTTAAACAAAAACAAAATGAGATTTCGTTTCCTGTTTTCATCTTTTTGGGACAAGCTACGATTATCTCAGTCTACGTACCAAAGTAAGGTGGAGTAAAAGGCCAGAATTTTGTACAGCATATGTTCTCGTTTGTCAAAGATTAGACCATTCTATCGAGAGAATGTGGCGATAAAGAGGTTGACTCGGTGATGTAATTGATAAGTAAAGAATATCGCACATCTTTTTCCTATTCTTATAATCTTCGTTTTATGAAAACGTTTAGGACTTTCCTACGTTAGAAGGAAAGACGAAGTTTTAAGTTTAAAGAGAAAGTCAAAATAAATGTGTATTCGTAATAGAGCAAGAATTGGATGTTAATTATGCTATGCATATATGCAGGAAGAAAGCTTTCATATTTTTGTCCTGACAAGCTTTTTATTTCTAGTTTTATATTCGACACACGATATTAACATATTTGTCTCTGTTGCTTGATACTCGGAATGAGCATGCTCTTGTGCATGCATTATTCACACCGAATCGTACAAATATTGATCATCAAACAATAATTGATTTAAAACAACTATCAAATGGGAAAAATTTGTCTATTTATCAAATATTATTATCATTTGTTAGACGAAAAGAATTGTTGTTACTAAATTTGAACAAAATAAAAAATGAAGATGAAAATGATAGAATGATGATTCTGTTAGAAAAATATTATATTGGTATCAAAGAGTTTATTGATTTTATTGAACAATTGCAAATGATTATTGATGAAGGAGATTCTCAAAATGAACCAGAGTATGTTTATTGAATTATAAAATTGTGACATGTTTTTGTTTCTTTGTTAAAAGATAATCAGTTAATATATCTGTTGTATATTTTTTTACTTTTTTAGTATGACATTTGAACAATTAATAACAAGTTTAAGAAAACAGCTTCGTAGAGATCCAGCATTTAGTCGATGTGATAATATTTTGATAGAAAATATCAAGGAATTGTGTAACAAATTTCCCACAACAATGACATTAATGCATTATACATCACCTGTTCGAGTACGTACTTTTATCTAAATAATAAATTATCTAGTTACTTTGTACGGCTTTGTCTCTGGCGTTATGTTGATATTCAAGAAGAAACACATTCTCTTAAAGGGGTGGCAGGATTCCTTATAGGAGTCAGTACACTATAGAAAATTATTGCAATTTAGTCTTTAGTTGTCATTTTTAATACGTTTTTAGTCTGCGTCAGCCGGTGGTTCATTATGTGGTCGAAAATTTTTACGTTCACTATCGTATTTATGTGCTAAAGAAACTATTGCTATTCCAATTTTATTCAACAATGACAAAGATAATAATGATTATTATGAAAGTCCGTCAACTGACATAAAAAAAGCTATGTGTTACCGTTTACTAAGGTAAGTGCATACGTGATATAGACGTGTCTACGAGTTAGTATTATATTTGTTCTTTTACTTTTAGAAGTCCTTTGACACCATTAGCTGATACCATCATATCTGTTATTGGTAAAGATGAAACTGAAAAACAAACTTGTATTATCGTAGAAGATAAATCTAATGTCGAGTCCGTTTTTTTGTGGAATCATTCTCATACATCGTCAGATACCATTAATCAAAATATCAAAGAACAAATAACAACAATCAAAAAGGATAATCGTTTTGTAAAACGTCGGTAAGTACGTGTGCGTGTTTTCTACGCAAAATTCTTTTAAAAATTTCACTAAAACTTTGAACCATTACTACAACTATTTGCTTGTGATTTAGTAAATCTCAACGTTGTCTGGATTTGTCAACAATTTATGAGACAAGTTTTGATTTATCACTATCTAATATCGAAACGACATCAACATCAACAACAATAACTATTGCAACTATATCAAAAGAAACAATAACAACAACTGATGATAATAGTCGTCAACCACTTAAAGAATTAGATTTAAATACATTTGACCTTAGTAGTGATCATATGAAGCTAATTGACACAAAAATAGTAGCTAATGAAAAAGAAAATTTTTATAAACGTTCACATGAAGAAGTTTATCCAACAAATCCGTCCAAAAAACAAAAAACAATAAAGAAGGCTCTAACAAAGAAGCCAATTCCGTCCGGTCAAAAATTGATAAAGAATTATTTTAGTAAAACATAAAAGTTTCATTTATATTTTACAATTATTCTGTTTGTTTGTTGAATTTGGGTTTGGCTCTTCATGGAAATGCTAAACTATATTTTTGTTTGTCGAATATTTCTGTTCATTTTTTTCTGTTTTTCGACATTCCAATGTGCTCCTTGTTTTCTTTTTTGTTATTGTGTATAGTTATTTTCATTTTTTGTCAAGTCAGATATTTTCTATGAAAAAATAATGGTAGTTTTTGTTGAGCATGCGCTGTGTAATTTTTTTTTGTATAAGTGTTTTTGTTGATATAATTCTCTATATTTTGATATTTTTTTCGTGTTTTTCATAGTCGAAAGAAAAAAGAAGTTTGTTTGACGATAGATCAGAATAATAATAATTTCTTATTATTTTTGTTGAATAAAATATGTTTGGAGAAAAAGTTGAATATCATCAAGAACAAACAAATGCTCTTTTTCTGCTCGATTGTCGTGACCACCAATGGACGATAATACAACGTTGCAAAAGATGGTGATCCCATCGATATCGAAAGCTGTATGAATGTTTCCTAAACTTATAATTTCTGTATAAAATTCTTAATGAAATAATTGAAATTTCCCTGCGTTAGCTTATATAACAAAAACTATCATGCACATAGCTGTTTTCGTCGATTTTTACTGAAAACTGTCGGTAAACCGCGGTTAATCGGTTCTTTTTCAATTACCGATTTGTTTTGCATTTTTTTCCGTTAGTTGTTGCAGTATGAATCTCGACTAGATCCAAGTATCTACCATACAGTGTCTGGGAGTATCGACTGATTGAAAAATATTACTCAGCCCTTAATTTCATCGATATAGTACCGCAGTACACGGACGGCTTTACCGCTGTGAAACACGTTACAGTTCAAACTTCAAAAGAAAAATGAAAAAGAAGTTTGAAAGAAACAGAAAAGAATACTCATAGCAAGATTCCATCGCTTGCTTAGCGAAAAAAACAACAACTGCCAATTAATCCCATTTAACTGACAAAAGTGGAACGTTTTTTGCCGATCTGGCGAGAAATTGACGTGCTTTTGTCGGTTTGATAAACATGAGAAGGTATTCGATTAAAATGGAAACAGACCTATAGTTAGTTATGTTGCACACACTGTAAAACAGCTATATTTTAGAAATCCAAAAGATTTATGATATGTTGTAAATGATTATTTTCTTCAAATGTTTTTAAAATACATTTTTTTAAAGAGTACGCATAGTTTTGCCTACTAATGAATGTATAATATATATCAAACTAAACCTTTTTACTTTCATTTTTAATTAAAAGCGTAATATGTTATAAGGAATTAAAAGTGTTATAGTCGCATTAGTCTCACCATTCATATTCTTATTTTTTCACTAGACTTTCACGCAGTGTAAAAAAAATATAGCTCTATTTAATCATCTGGGCGGAAATATCCAACATACATAGGTTTTTTAATCACTAACATATTCTCTGCGGCGGAAACCTACGCCAAAAATTTTGGTAGAATGTCAGAAAACTCAAGAAGGCCAATTTCCAGCGCAGAATCGCTGGATATCTAATTCACTTGATGCATTGCATATTTCAGAAGTTTTTTCTTATTCCGGTTTTAGTCTTAGCGACCACAATTCGTACTTGATGAGGTCCCGCTTCTTTTTCATCTTCTTTTTTGGTAGCCGTGCTATAATCTTTTTGTGTGTGAAATCGACAGTGTTTACAATTATCAAATTCTTCATCAATTATTGGCTGTTGTTTATCTTTATCATTGTCTATTTCTATATTCTCTTTCTCTGATTTCGTATAAATACAACAACATTTTGACTTTTTTTTATTTTCAAATTCATTATCAACAACCGTCGTTTCATCCCAAACAACATGTTGTCGTATTGATAGTGCATTTTTTAGTCGAAGATGTAATGTTTTGTTTGTTATAACCGATGTAATTTGTTGCTTTTGCTGATCATCAACAAGCGTTTGGCTTAGTTGTTGTTGTACAAGTCTTGACATGATGATATGACTAACCCATGTTCGAACGAAAACAATAAATAGTAAGAAAATTATCAGACAGAGCGCTTTTTCATCACGGCAACAGTCTACGTTCTAACGCTTGTTAAATTGTCTAATTAAGTCAACTCAAGATGCACTTGCCAGGTAAATAGAAAACTGCACAACAAGTACACCAAAATAATTAATACAAAATTAATTGAAATACTGAGGAGAGTTCAATGCCATAAAGAATCTGTTTTAGAACATACATACCAACTTATTGCCATTTTTAGAGAGAGAGAGAGAGATAAACTTAGATATAACACAGTTTCATTATGTCACAATGTATGTAGCAGAGCTCCGTATGAACTGGACGGAGTCCATAGTCCAATCTAGCCCAGGCCACATGAACTGGACTGGACTGGACTCAAACTTTCAAGGCCATAGATTGATCTGGACTCGAAAAAAATTTTGGATTCACTTGAATGGAAGGATAATCAGTAAAAAATAGATGATTTTTGTATTGTGGACTGGACTGGACTCAGAAGTCCGGCCTATACAGAGCTCTGGTATGTAATTCACGTTGTTCCGCAATAATAAAGAATTTGAAAACTGAGAGAAGCGCGATGGGTTTTTACACTTATGTGATATTTCTGTCTATAGCACGGATTAAAGCAGGATGCTGAAGTCGACAACAAAATATCAAAACTTTTTAATTAGATCACTATTTGTTTGGACTTGAGTTCAAATGCTATTAATATCATGAACATGTTTCTTCAGTATAACGGTTTATTTAAAAATGTAATAAATCTTTTCAAAAGCTATTACGTGTGTGTTTTGCTAATAAAAAGAAAAATACAATGATGATAGAAATAACCGATCAATCACCCTGCACTCAAAAGGAATGATAGTTATTGATTCGAACTTTTGTATGAAGATATAACTTGAGCAATATGCCGGTCACGCACTCCATTCACTCCTGGCCCATTTAGCTGTGTTAACATACTTTAGTTTGGCCTTTTCCACGAAAATGTAAAAAGCTTCTGGTCCCATAGGAATGAATATTTGGTTTATGGACCAAATGTAGCGCTCACGATTTAAATTTCACTGATGGGTCTTACTAGATAAACAATTACTGGCATATTATGATTAACAATTACTTGTGATATTTTATGTCGTTGTCAACAAACTACTCATAACTCGATCCCAAAACACAGTTTAGACTTGTTCATTGTTCTGCCTAGCAACATCATACCAAGTTTTTTTATTAGATGTCACACGGACCAGGATTTCGATTAAATATGGATGAAATAAAATAAAATAAAATAATTTACAGTACACTGTAAGACTGAAATTATTTATGGAAAATGCTTGGCGAATTTCAAAGAGTACCTATAGGAATTCCTCGAGGATTTTCCAGTTTATAGAAAATCGAATTTCCAACAATCTAGAAAATCGTCGTTGAATTTCCATAAATGATTTCTAAGAAGGAGAAATTCCTTTTTGATTTTCTATAAACTGGAAATTCCTTGACGGGTCTGCACTGAGTGGTGGCGCACTCAGGTTGTATTGGGGTCGGCCCCGCCCCCTCATGCTTTTGAAACATTTCTAGTGAACGTCTCCGACTTTGGGACCTTCCTAGTGAAACTTCGTGCTACCACTGTCTCTGCCTAAATCAAAATTCTTGCTGGCATAGGTAGAATTGTCATCTGAAGTGGAAAGTGTCAAAGCTGATTTAAGTATAATATGAGTGTAATGTATGTATAATTCCCAAGAAATTGAAATTCGATGTAGAATTTCCAGATCCTTGGAAATTATTTCTAGAAATTCGCTTGATTTATAAACTGATCTATAAACTAGAAATGAATTCAAGATTACAGTGTAGGTATATGCTACAGTAAAGAGCAGAAAGGCTCTTCGCTCTTAAAGTTTGTTTATAACGAAGTTGTTTTATGAGTGTTTATAACTCGTCCGATATGTATTTAAACCGTCAGCGTGCTACATTTCGATACACGAATAAAGCGTTCATCCCCATCGAATCAGAAGTGATAGAAGTGAATGCTCGGCATATTCACACAAAAGTTCGAATCAATAATTGTCATTCCGTTCGAGTGTAGAATGACGGATCGATTATTTTTGTCCATCATTATATTGAAAGACAAAACCCTCACATATTCGTTTGTGTTATCTAAAACTCCAACTGTAACGAATACAAAGTTGCTTTTTTTAATAATCATTGTCTTCAGTGTTTTCCTCAGCATCTAATGAAGATGATGAAGTAATATCGTGATCGTAGTCATCATCATCATGTTTTGGAAAGTTTGAACGTTTTGTTACTTTATAACGATGATTCACTAACGGTTTTATTTTTACACCATATTCATAACAACAAATTTCCATCATATTTTTATATGCAAGCTGTTTTGCTTGTTTTTCAGATTTTGATATGCCTGTAGGAAATAGAATACGATCATTTAATATCAATTGATAATAATAGTATTCAATATTATCCTTGGTCTTTATTTTTTGACTGTGTTTCATATTCACATCTTCCATTGATTCAACAAAATGAATTACGTTATCGATAATGCCATTATCATAGTAAGCGTTTGGTTCAACATGATATTTTAATTTTTGAGAAAATTTTGATAGAGCAAGATATTGCTCAAACGGGACTCGAAGACTACGACTAGAATATGAGAGAAAATATTTGTTAGTGTAAAGTTAAAAGTATTTCTCTATTTTCGATCATAACGGATGACAAAATGGTGTTTAAAAGTGAAAGAAGGGATATTAGACTCAAAATTTGAAAGAAGAGATGACTTGAATAAACTGCATGATAATGTCAATCGCACTAGATTACTTATGGATAATACCGAGCGACAACATGAAGTAAGAATTGCGTCTTTTTATTATTGTACTAGTACAAGCTGACAGTGTAGAGACATATCCCGACTGGGCTATCTTTTTTACAGCAAAATTCTTTTTTATATCCCGATCAGGATATAATTCGATATCTCGATTGGGATCAGAGTTCCCAGCCGGTATGCCATAATCGACGCGGTTTTCCGCTTTTCCCGCCTTGTTGGCGTTGATTGTGGCGCCCGAGCTGGCAACTCTGATTGCGATATCAAAAAAATCTATATTCCGATCATCGGGATCCTCACTGAGGATATCAAAAATTTTAACTTTTCATTTGTAAGAAAATGATGAATTTGAGAAGAGCTGAATATTCTTCTTCGTTATTTTCCCCATCTAACGTTCCTATCAACGGTTATGATTCACTTATAAAAAACATAAGACAGTTTATTTGCGAGAATGAATAATCTATAATAGTTGGAAAATTTCCCGTTAAACATAAAGCACGTGCACTTAGCTATATATTGTTTACGCATCAGAAAAGAAATGTGTGTTTCAATATAAACATGTATCGTCAATGAAGAAACAGAAAAAGACGATCGGTGTGGAAAGCGATTAGATCAAGAGTATATCCCATTCTAAGCAATAAAAGGTCAACCGTCGTTCCAATCGGGATATAAATTCGACTAAAATTTGTTAAAAAGTTTTGTTCGAAAAAATAGCTGCCGGGTGTTTGACAGACTTTTAATGAAACAACAGAATCCAATGTAGTTTTTCGAGCTCTGTCTAACGGTGAGGTTAATCGTTTCCCATAACGTTGTCGTTTTTCCCTTAATCATTTTTACGATGAAATTTTGTGTCGTATATCCTGATTGGGATATAGGGGATGTCCCCTTACTGACTGTGCCTTAAGTAGTTCAAACGATAAATAGTTACCCTATACGATTACTTACACATCAAAATCTAAAACTATAAATTTTTGTGTTTCAGATATATGCATTGCTCGACGAAACATGTAACGATATCGATGAGCTGCAATATTATTGACATAGAAGCAGAATTTGATATTCAGAATACTTTTAGAGTTTTGTTACGTACGTATTTTGAGAAACAAATGCTTATTTTACAACGTACACTGTAAAAAAAATGAGTTCTTCATTTGTTCTACATAAGGAACTATTTTTGAGATCCTTGAAGAACTCGAAACAAGATCTTGAGCTTGTGAATGTTTTTCGAATTTTCAAAGAACTTATACAAGTTTTCTAAAAAGTGGACGAACTTGTGAAATGACGAAATCACTTTTCTTTGCTTTTCGAGTTCGCTAAAAGCTTGAAGACGAACAGATGTTTTTTACTACATAGCTGTACAGTCAGACAGAAAAAAACGAATCTGAACTTACTCTTCATAATCGGTTCCGTCTGACATTTCCCCATTCCATTTTGCTTCTTCATACAGTTGCTGGACATCCCGGGGTGACATTTCATCCTAAAAATAAATAGTAAATCACTCACAAAGCCTATTGTTGCATTTCTCATTTATATATATACATAATCTAAAACTGAATCTTGCTTTTCATTGTCATTTGTTGATGAATTTTGAGACTTTTCATTTGAGTTTATTAGTGACGGCTCATCAAACGATTGCATCGATTTATTATCTATAATTTGAAATTGTTTGTTCAAAAGATAGAAGGAAGATTCTCTACAACACCACACCTGATGGTCGCATAAGACAACTATCAGTTGAAATAAATGGTTGTTGTTGTTGTTGATGATAATGACGTTCAAATGTATTTGATTGCGAAGGAGCCGATGACAATTTGGACTCAACAGCTAAAATAGTGAAATAGTCACAACTAAGCATGAGAATAGTAGTTTACTGCTATAACTTACATTTTATAGAATGGCTATTTTTTAAACTTTGGATGCTGAAGAAATTTAATCGATTATTATTGACCTTTTCGCTAGATTGTGATTTTAGGTATCCTATACAAATTCAAAAATGAGATGGCATAAATATTGAGATTTTCTAGCTATTACAGTCAAAGTTAAAAACTGCTGCAGTTAACGTTACAGGAGAAGCATTAGTAAAAATTGAAGAAGAACTTACGATGTTTAAATAGAAAATCCTCGTAATACAAATCGCAAATAATTTGAGTTTTTTTAGCCCAATTTTGCAAGCGTTTGACCACAAATTCACGAATTTCCGGATTTTCATGTCTATAAGGAAAACATAGAGAAGTAGCAGAGGTCTCGTCTTGTGAAATGCAAGACAAAAGGAGACAACTCAGAAAAACTTTGCTGAAATGAGACAAGACGAAATTCGTTCTTTCTTGGAACATCATTTAAAACGGATAACATATCGAAAATTGAGTACTGAAGCACGAAGAGACTTTTATTTTTTTTCATTGATGTTTTATATTTTGATACGATAAACGTTAAATAGATAGATGAAGATGAAATAACGACAATTTTATTTACACAGGACGATACGAATCCAAACGAAAATGTTACGAGACATTTAAAAATCTCGTTTCATTCATCTTTGAGAAATAATCGGTAATATCTCGACAGTTAGTGTCTTGATATTTCACTTACTTAATTGTCCATGCAACATTAGAAAATGGATCATGTACTCCACGTGGTTTAACATCAATGACACAATTTGTCATAGCTCTTAATTCATTCAATCGAAAATCCTGTATAACAGAAAATAAAAAGTAGTTTCGAATACGTAAAAGACATTTTTCTTTCGTACTTGAGCTCCACAAAATTCAGATCGAATATCGAAATTATTCAAATTAGATTGTATAGACGTTTGTATAATTACTGTGTCACTCTAAAATCATAATTAAAAACAGTTTTATCAAACTAAACGACTTATCAATAAGTACACGCACACTATTTGTATCGTTCAACCAAAATGATTTCTTTGGTGAGTAAAATGTTGTCGGATAAAAGCTCGTCATAATTGAAAAAATCGATGAAGAATTTCTTTTGATCAAAGATAGAAGTTATTAATTTAGTGTTTTAGCCTCCAGTTATTATACCAAAATCTAAAGCAAAGAAAATAGAAAATTAAGGTCTGAAAGCTGTTTGATAGTGTCCCATTTGTCAGGGTATAAGATAAAATTAAAACAACATTTTAACTAGTCTTATTATAAAACTTCGATTAGATAGTGTACAATGGAAGAGCCTGCTAGATTCTTGATGATTGAACGTATTGACTATAATCTTTTTACTTTTATTTTCGACAACAAATAACATTGTATTGTAATAACGAGTGAGGTTACTGTCTCATTGAATTTTTGATTTTTTTTCCATTTGTACGTACAATTCAATATAGTATAAGATAAAGGAAATGTAGAGAACGAAAGATTGTTACTACACGTGTCAGATAAAGTTAAATTCAGTTATATAAACTATTTTTCGATTTGAATTTTACTGTACTATACAGCCATTATTCTCACATCTTTTTTATAAAAGTTCTCTCACAGTTTTATCTTATAGTTTTATCAACTCTTGTGAACGTTAAGATTTCCATACGAGCTAGTCCGAATTTAACCTTTGTATCTAGACACGAACTTAGACTTGCATTTCGACTTCGATTAATAAAAGTAAGATGAAGTTTAGAATTCGCTTTAGTCTTTTCTGTAATTTCTATAATATGTGTAGAGATCAACTGTAAGTCATGCATGCATGTGTTTATTTCATTCGTCATTTGATTTATATTAGAGAAAAATCATATGTTATATCTTACGTGGAAAGTTCCTTCGCTCTCTCGTAACTAATCCATGTTAGTTTATTGTAAACAACCTGGTTTTATTTTGCTTCTTGTACGCGATTTTTCTTTATTTATAAACTGAACAATTTAGATCGTTTCGAGCATAAATAATGAAATGAAACAGTAGACTTAAATTCCTCTCCATTTTAAAACAATTGTCTTATTTCAGAAAAACAGGACTTGGTATTCTTACTCTCTTTGTTTTTTTACTGAAATATAAGTAAAATATCGAATTATCTATGTCGTCCATCCTGACAAAATTTTGGAAGTACATTGTTAAATTTTGAGAAATCTTGGCTAGGTCAAAATTCAATCGAAAAGAGACAAAACAGGCGAAAACTATACAAGAGAATGAATAATTCTTCGTCGCTTGTCTTACACAACCTCAGAAGAAGAATATTTTGAGCTACTAGAAGGTTTTATCCGGTATTCATAGTTCTTCCGAGCAGCTTTGTATGATATTCACCTTTTTTAATAGCAACTTAGATATGAAACTACAAACTAATGATTTAAAATCAAACGAAAAATACACGTATAGCGAATAACTAGGGCAGAAGAGTCAAATAATGCTCCAGCCTAAGTGCTCTATGAGAAAAACCCGATCCTAAATTTCCAACAGAAGAAATTTCAATAGACAAGAACAGTTGAACAGCAACAAAAAAAAAAACAAGTAAAAAACATAACAAAACAGCCGCATTTGCTCATCATTTCTACCATACAAATCAGCTAGTCTAGATAATAGTAGATCCCAAGAATATAACAATCAACAGTCATGTCCAACAATCGATTCATTTGACTCAGTTGAACTTAAATCACTTGTTCTACTACCTTCACCTTCGTAGGAATAATGTACTTGAGAATCATTTACATAAGAAAAAGCAATTGCTTGTTGTTTGTTTAATTTATCTTTGATATAAACATCTAATGATGGACGATGATGGCTCATCGATGTAAAAGCTAAAATAATGATAAAAAACTACTAGATTTAAAAGAGTCTGCGTTCTTTAATCTAAATATTTATTAGAGATCAATCGACTAGGCATTGTAGATCTCGATTTCCAATATAGTGAATACAAAGAGCGAGCTAGAGAAAATGGTAAAAAAAATATAAGAGTAATATAATAAAAATTGTATTTAACGAACATTCCATAGATGCAGTGACTATATGTATAAGTGTACTATAAATGACAACTACGGCATCAAGTATTATCAAATCTTGATGTATCTACTATGAAATTAGAAATTGCATGATATATTTTCTTCAACTCGGCTATAGAGAGTTTGCGAAGATCTCTATCTCTCTCATCAAAAGATGGTTGATAATTATATTAGTGTTAGGGAACAAACTCTCAAATTCCTGAATCAGCTTCAAACGTCATTGAGCATAGTTCTTGCGTTCAAGCAGGCAATGGAATACTGTCTCACGTGCACCACAAGCGCAAACTGGACTTAGAATAAGTTTACGAGCACAAAAGTCACTGTTCAATTGAGAAAATTCCATTCTCAACCTTGCAAAATGAATATCATTGTTTCAGTCATTGTGTAATGGGATAGGGTGAAGGAAGAAGTCATCAGTCGGAAGTCTACGAAACTTTTTGTGCTTTACACAAGAGCGAAGTTCTGAATCAAGTCCATTTTACAACCTAATGGTGGCTGGTATAAATGTGTTCTCATGGACATCTTGTTTACATATTTCAACACGTAATTTATATTGGGTAACGGAACGAGTAGTATATAAGTGTAAATTTTGATTAACGGGAATTAAACCCATAAGAAATGATGGGGCAAGATTTCTCATAATTTTATGAAAAAAATCCAGTCTGTATCTGTCGAACAACATGCATATCGGGAGTCAACCTAAGTCCCTCAAAACCTTATCCTTAGACGTTCCTTTCATCGCTCCAGTTATCGCAAGACCGGCGTGATATTACAATGCACTCAACCGTGCAGAATCTTTTCAGTTGTTCCTGAGTATATTTTAGACGCATAAATTAAAGTAGACAGAACAAGCAAGTTGTAAATCACGTTAAAGCTCGCCTAGAACATACTCTGCTAAGTAGTTTAATTGAACCTATTGTTTTAGAGCATTTTACTATAACTTCATCAATGTGCTTAGTCCAATTCAAGCTATTCATCAAAAGAAGACCAAAATGTCTGTGAGAATTCACGATTTTCTAATTTATGGCCATCGATATACAATGGTAATAAGACAGTTTGTGTACGGTGTGACGACAAGAAAAGCATTTGAACACATTTGTTGAGGTTGATTGGCAAAAGCCAGCGAATCATTTGATCACTGTTGGATCAAACTTAAATCCTCATTCATTGGTTTATAGTTCCAGGCATATTTACAGCTGTTTCATATAGTGAGACGTCATCAGCGAAAAGCTTACATGAACATTTGAGACCAAATGTTAAGTCGTCAATATACAATGAAAAAAGAAGTGGTTCCAGGACGAACCGTCGGAGAACCCCACAAGTGACATCATTAACATCAGACTCAAAATCCTCAACTATGCTTTCTTCTTCTGCCCTGAAGAGCGGCTGTATATTAAAACTAGATTCCGAAATTGTATCACATTCGCAGAACAACTTTAGTAACTGTCATTAAATATCAATATAGCAATTAGGATGTTAACCTGTACCTTTCTAATATTCACCTATATTTGGCACTGATATCCTTGACATATTCTCATTTTTTGGCGATACATAAACAGGTTTTTTCAGTACTCCTAAATTGTATCCTGAATGATCTTCTTCACCAGCTGTCTCTTTATAGTTGATAATATTTTCTCTGATGCCAGTTGAATATAAACTCATCAATGTCTTTTTCCGCTGACGTTTTCTCACACACGTTAATAGAACCAAGGTAATTATTACTGATAATACCAGCAGAACTAACGCAATAATTAACCATGTATACCACGGTACAGTGACACTATTATCAAATGGTATAGTGATGGATGTACAAGAATTTGTTATCGTACATGAACATTGGCCGTAACTGAAATTTGTATATGGTTGTGCTTTACTCATATCAACGTAATAGCCGTTTGAACGAAGATTTCTAATACAACCGTCAAACGCGTTTACAGGTGTCATTAAACTAGGATATAAGTTTGATATCGTCGAATCAATACCTTAAAAAATATACGAAAATGCCATCAGTTTTTATTAAATTTAGAACTTTCTATTGACTACATACCTGGCAAACCGCCCAAATACAATTGTACGGCGCTCAGATCTGAGCTTGATGTATTATTACTAATAACTAAGATATATTGACAATCATTAACGGATATCAGCACAGTATCACCAACATATTGATATTCGATATGGTACCACATTGAGGCATTCAATGACGTACTTGTGTTTAATATTCTTTGACGAAAATGGAAATTTAATTGTGAATTATAGATTTCAATAGCTATCCAAAAATAATCATCCACAGGTGGACTATTTTTGCCATATAGTAGTAAAAGGCCATCTTTTAATGGTGAACTTGATGCAAAGTCGAAACTAAAACGTGTTGGTGATAAATTTGATATCACCGAGCTATTAAACGATGCATAATCACCAGTATTAAATGTTCGACCTAATACCTCACAATACGGGCCTAATGGTGCAAAGGATAACAACGCTGTACATTGACAATATGTAGAATTATTGTGCGTATAGTTAACACAACCTGTTGGCGGTGAAACCGGTGATTGAACAATTGTGGAACTATTGATACAATCCGCTGAATCGAGAATACTAATGCCCAGAAATGATGTTAAATTTGTATCGACTAATTTGGGTAGGGGTTGAATAGTACGATCATAGCGACATATTGTTCCTACTGGACAACTATAATTTGTACATGGATTTAGTCCACTTGCATTTGCTTTTAGGCCGTATCGCAATGAAAAAAGTTCAAGCTTTTTATTTAGTGTATCTTCAACTAATTCCTTAGCCATATTTGGAACATAGAATATAACGTCAGTTAATGCCTGTTGTTTTTGTTCATCAAATGATAATGGTGGTAAAAATGAATTTTGTAGTTGTAACGAGGGAGCAGGACGTATTGATAGTATCTGTATAGCATCAGCACTAACCATCAGAAATTCTGCTAGAGCATTACGTAGCGTATCTATTCGTCTACCGAGTGTTGGATCAATAAGACTTTCGGGATATTCTCCTAAATAGTAAGAAAATTGAGTTGAGTTCTTTCTATTTCTTACTCATAACAAAAAAAGATGTCCGAGCCAAAAAAGTACATAATAGAAAAGTTGATTATCGATAGAAGTGTTAAAATAGATAAGAACAAATATTACCTTGTATTCTTATTGTTGCTCCTTGTCTCACATATTCACTGTCAATATTTTGTACTTCTATAGTAGCCGTACCACTGGCAGCAAAAATATTATTTTTAACGACGGTAGTTCGAACTGTATATGAGCCAGGATACAAAGTACTACTAGCTGACAAGTATCCATTAAGTCCACTACCATTAGCATTAAATGTTCCCAAACTACTCGATATTACTTGATAACTGTTGGTTGCACGACTCCAGTCATCTAAATCATTGACATAGATAGAGCCGAGTGCTTGATTTCTCAATGCATTATTATAACCATTGATATACAGAACGGTCATTGTTTTAAAACCATCTGTTATCGTATAATTATTATTTGTGTCACTAACAATAATTGAAATTGGCCACACTTCAGATATACCTTCGGAATCTGATGCATTGATTGTTACTGTAATATTTTTTGTTTGAATCCGATTTAACATTCCTTGGTATTTTAGCACAAATGTACCGTTACTACTGAACGAAGGTGACATGGTAAATGGTGATGGTCTTTCAACAATAAATGCTGTGACGTGATTCAATAGAGGATCATCGACATCTTTAAAAACAATTGACGTTGTTGGATCAGGCACACCTTCTGGCATTATCCACGGAGAATTTGATGGATATGGGGGATTATTATTTACATCAATAACATTAATTGTTACTGGTAAATAACTCGAATAACCCATACCAAATTCATCTGTTGCTTTTATAGAAAAATGATATACAGAATAACCCAAAGGTGGATCACGCCTTAAACCAGGCATTCTAATACCGAATGCTGATTCATTTAAATAGAGATTATCCAAGTTTTGTTGGCCAGTATTAACAATCGAATAGATAATACCTGTTGACGGTATATCGGGATCAGTTGCTATGATCTCAAAGAGAAACAAGCAAAAAACACACAAACCTGTTTTTCAACTTAGAAAATCTCAAAATATTTACCGGAGTAAAAATATATGCTGTTTTTTCTGTAACATTGTATGAGTAACCTTCAGAATCGGGTATCAATGGAAATTTTGGTGGATATGTATTTTGCGGCAATAAATTAATTGTTATATTCATTTTTGCTAAATTTTGTGTATCAAAAGCAAATAAAGTTAAATTATAAGTTACTTGATTTTCATAATCGAGGTGACCGACGACATACAATTGTGCTGTTGCTTGATACATCGTACGTGTTGAATCTGCTGAGTTATCTGATATCATTATAAATGAAAATATGTTGTTGACATTTCCACTTAATATACCAAAATCGAGTATCGTATCATAATCTTCATCAGTACATGTAATATTTACAATGCTAGTGCCATTCGCTGTTGTTTCATTAATTGATATAGATTCAAAATAATTTAACCATATTGGCCGTTCATCATTAACATCGATCACTTGTACGTCAATTTGAAAATCTTGTGTATTTGAATTGTTTATATTATTAATCGGATCATTGCAAACTCGTGCACCGTCATACGCCGTTATAAATAAACGATAAGCATCTTCTGATTCGCGATCAAATGTATAATTCGTTATTACTGTACCATTATCAGCGATAAAAAAAATTTCAGTTGCTCTTGGATCAGTTAAATCAAAATTCATACGATAACAAACAAAATTATTCGGATATGTTACATCACGATCGAATGCTAAATAAAACTATGAATGATTTAGTTCATAGTTTGTACACAAGCTCTAGATAGTGCTCAACTATCACTTTTTGGACTGACAGTTATAAAGAGTTCGTCCATATTATATGTGCAGTGATTATGAAGTATCCTCACCATTGTTTGTCTATTGTAATTTCAGCAAGATTTGAAATCTCAAAAAGTTCCTCGTACAGGATGTCAAGTAGGATTCTGAAAAATGACTGACCAGAGTATTCGAAACTAAAGCACTTTAGTTGGATAACTGAAATTTTTGGAAAAAATATCTTTGACGATCAAAAACTACACCTTGAATTTGTGCTATTGGTCTTTGTCCACTTTCGTTTTCGACTACACTTAGTGTAATCGACCGTATATCAAATATCGGTGATTGATCATTTTCATCGATCAGTCTTATTGTTAATGTACCAATTAATGGTGGATTAACAAGCACTCGAATATAGATCATATACACATCTTGAATTTCAGCATGTAACCCGGATGTAGCCGATATTCCACTGACAAATGTGTCATTGAAACGTTTCACAGGCACATCACTAAATGGAATACTTATATTTGCAAATAGACTTGTAACAGTTAATATAGACGATTGTCCTGGTGCTAATTGATAAATAATAGATCCATTAAAATTATCATCAAATATAGGTCGCGTTTTGTAGAATTCATAAAATTTTTCTCTGATGTTGATATTTAAGTCTTCGTATCTTGAATGTAACCAGCGAGCGGATGGCTGACCGTTATTATTATTGAAGTTTATTGTCACAGTTGCATTAACTCGACTCATCATTCGTGGTGAGCCGCGATCAAGTGCATAAACTGTAAATATGATGGGAAAAGCTGCAATAGTCAAATTACGAAACTCTGATTTTGACATAATTACACCAGTTGTTTGATCTATCGAAAAATAGCTCAAAACCGATGTAGTACCAATATAATAGTCAATTATGCCATTATCACCACTATCAGCATCTAATGCTATTATACGTAGAAAACGTGATGGACTATTTCCAATTATTGTGTTGTTTATTGTATAATTCCATCTTGTCATGACAAAAACAGGTTCATTATCGTTAACATCTGTCAAATTAACGCGAATACTGCAAAATGCTAAAAAAGAAAATTATTTATGTGTCAGATGGTATTGAACATAGTTAAAATATTTCTACATACATTGTCGTTGTGGTGTTCCAGTATCCGATGCTAATATGAGCAGATACCATACACGTGTTGCTCCTGGTGCATCATAATCAAATTTTGTATTAACTTGTAATATTGCTTCTCTCGATGCATCAATCTGTGGTAATTGTACAAGTTGAAATTGACTGTATGCACTATTCCTTAGGCCATTGGCTGTTATTCGAGTTTGTTCCGATGGAAATGTAATGTTTATTTCACGATGCGGTTCTCGATCGTAATCAAATACTGTTATTATTGTGACAGTAGAGCCAGGTACAGTGTCTTCTTTAAACGAAAAAGTTTTGCCACATATTTCATTTATAAATGTTGGTGATTGTTTATTGACAGCAGTTACATTAATTATTACATCTGTTTGTGTCGTAAATTTTGTATCATTAACCGAAACAGTAATGATATACTGACTGGGCGATGTGGATGGAAATGACCTAGTCAAAGTTAATACACCAGTGGCTTTTTCGATAGTAAAGAATGTCGTTATCGTTGTTATCGTATAAGTTAGCTCATTTCCATCAGCATCACTAGCATATACCGTTCCAAATATGGTATTATCTGATGCTGTTTCTAATATTGAATAAGATGGATTTGATGGTATGAATATCGGTGAGTGTACATTAGCGGATAATAGAATAATTTGAACAAGTGCTTGCGACGTAGATGGCGGACTGTTTACAAATGATTGTGTGGCGATAATATTGAATAAATAACGATTATTGAGTGAATAATAATTTAAAGGACTAAAACGAGAATGATATATTTTCTTTGTTTTGAGCTTGAATGTCAAAAAAACAAACTTACGAAGTGGCCGTGACCAATTCATATGAGCCATTTCCTAACTGTATCACAGCAAAATTTGGATCTGACGACGTAATGTTTAATAGATGTGAGGTACCCACACTCGTTCGTGTTGTCGATGTTTGTGGTTGTACGTTAAATATGAAGACAGTTGTGTTCATAGGAGAATCAACAGAAAAACTAGATCTTGAATATACGGAGCGATCAAATATTGGACCATTAAAATTTACATAATACTAACATAATAATAATAATAGTTGGGACTTAAAAGTCATAGAAGCTATACTGATTAAAGTTACTTACAAAAAAATCTGGAATGTCGTACAGACATGCTTGAGCTAAACAGAACAAAACGGTTCATCTAATAATTAATACCTACAGCTACTCAATTTTTTCTCAATATTTAAAAGCTGTACTCACATTGTGCAGGTGTGACTAGATAAAGTGTATTTAGAAACAGATAATAAAACGACGAAATTGATAGAATCATTGTACATCTAAAACAGGCAACATTAATAATATTTGTTGTAAAATTCAACTTATGATCGGACCTTGATAGATTAGGTTCAAAACTCGCTTCAATCTCTAAACACTACAACATCAAAATAATAGAAAACATTTTTTTTACTATAATTATCATTATCTATGGACAAATAAGACAAAACCAAATACTTTTCTTCCTCTATGACCGAAAAATTCATTTCTTTAGCCTATTTCAATATAAATAGTTACATTAAAAAAAAACACAGGAAGTCCAGTTCGATGTATACATGGACAAAGCACACAAAAGTTGACTTTGGTACATTGAAACAAGATTGATCATCATGTACTTTTCTTTTCTTCTTTCGAAGCGCTTCGAATCTTGCTTAGCTTGATATCCCTCTCGCAATTAGTACAGCATCCTAAATCTAATGATTTGAAAGACAGATGTATACACCGTTCTAATTGAGAAAAAAGCTTTGATTAAACCTCGAAAAAAGGACGCTATTACTTCATACAAGAAGGAGGGACACTCATGAAATATTCCAGATATAACACAGATGAATATTATGACGTTGAAATAAAAGAATCTCTCGTAGTCACTGAGATATATTTTACTTCAGCCAACTACGTATTCCTGTTTCAGTGATTACATCAGATCGTTATGCTGATGTCTAGTTATTCAAGGCGTCAAAATTGTCATTGCTGCAAGTTGATCTTAAATAGCTGTTTCTGCACTTTCTGCGCCCCACCCTCCCCCATGGACGGGCGGACTATACTCATTAGTCTATGTGTATACCTAGGAAGAATTTTGTTTTTTATTTTTTCCTGCTAGGACAAGGCTGACAAGCTTTTATATACGCTTTTAAAGGCCGCATTCAAAGTTATTAATCATACCGTTGATACCAAGGCTACATCGCACCATACTAAATGTCACATCTACTTTTCTGTAATTAAAGGTCGTCATGCAGAATAGGAGATCTGTTAAAATATTCAAAAAATGATAACGAGAGTCCTACTGGACATGCTAAAACGTTAGTACTCAATGAGTACTTAACACAAAAATACCATGTGTACTTAAAACTTCAGCACGAGCCCTTTAGTACTTATACGAGTACTCGATTTAGTACTCATGAACAAGGTTTATGTTTTTGAACACTCATAAGCACTTGTAATATTATTCAAGTATACATTTTGAGTTGTCGAACAGCAATATATTAATGCTTTCACTATTGTCCATCCAAAAAAAGAATGGTATATGACTGTTTTTTGAATAACTTTCGATAGGAAAAAGCTAAAGAGCTTCAATTTTCACCATTCGAAAGAGGAGATTTGGGGACATGTTTTCATAACCAAAAATTTACCCAGAAGAGCTTTCTGGAACAGGTTTTCCAGGGGATCTTTGGAAAATTAGCTCGCGTGTAAAAATTTTCCAATAGGATTGTATTGATTTGTTTTCACAGACTGATAGCCCAGAGTGTCCTTTTCAAATTGAGAGTCAAGTGAGACCTTGATTTTCTACGCTTCGGGCGTTGTATCGGATTTCCTACGAATCCCAGGACTGGCACCCAGTGAC